GATGGCTCGCCTGATAACAGATTTCTTTTTCCATGCATATGTTCGATGACGTTAGCAATAAGCCATGTACGCGTACAATTGAATGCCGATCAAACAAGTAATAAAAACATCAGTGGTGTCTACATCTATCTCTTTTTCCAGCCTAGACTGATGATGTATTCTGTTCTGTATTGATTAGAATAGAAGGCACCGACCTGGTTCGTTTTTTTTTCCTCAATGTCTATGTACTTCTATGCTTTATGGATGTTCGATTGTATCCATCTGTATATATTGATCTCGTTCTTCTTGATCGTATAAATGATTAAAAGGTCAGCTTTTTTTTTTAAACAATATTAAATAACCAAAAGAAAAAAAAGAAGAAGAAATGCATTCTGGTCAGATGTTTATTGTTTATCGATCGGCGACACTTTCATCAAAGTATGCACAAATATTTATTTAGATTCTTAAATTCTCACTGTTTTTTTTTAATACGTAATTTAAAATAATATTTTATTTTATATATTTTTATTTAGTATGCGCCGTCGAAAAATTAAAGATTCATCTTCTACTGGTGATCATCAAATATGTGCAAGAGAAAATTGTTTAAGATGTTGTAAAAAATTTGCTGCATTTATGTTTTCACGTGTTGGCCTATTTTTTGTTATGATCGGTTATGTTGCATTAGGTGGCTGGTTATTTCAAGCACTTGAAGCTGGTAATGAACAAGATATGCGTCGTTCAATGAATGAAAAATTTAATTCAACACTTTATAAATTATGGGATGGAATTTTACAAGTTAATTCATATCCATATAATGATAAAAAAGGAAATTTTACATTATATGCAACACAAGAACTTGAAAAATTTGAAGCAACTGTTATTCAACAAATACAACAAGGTTTTGATGGACGAACAAGACCAGGTGCTGATCCGGATTGGAATTTTTTTGGAGCTATACTTTATGCTGTTACACTTGTATCAACTATAGGTAAAAATTAGGAGAAGAATTTTCAAACGAAAAAATAAATATGATAAAATGTTTTTTTTTTTTTTGTAAAAAAAAAACAAAACAGGTTATGGTCATATAACAACAAAAACTATACCAGGAAAAGTTGCAACTGTACTTTATAGTGCATTTGGTGTACCATTAATGATGCTTTTTGTTGCAAATATTGGTTCAACAATGGCAAAATTATTTGCTTTTGTATTTAGTCGTATAAAAATGTTATTTTGTTGTCAATGGAAAAATAAAAAAAGACGAAAAAGTTTAAAACAATTTCAACAAAAAAATAATCAAATATCAATTAAAATTGATGAAGAAAAATCCATAAAAAAATCGAATTTAAAACAAACTAAAGATGATCAAGAAATAATAGAAAAAAGTAAAGAAATTTTATTTTTTCAATTTTATTTTTTTTTCATTCATATTTATTTAGTTTCAATTAATAATAATAATAATAATAATGATGATGATGATCAATTAACGATAATTCCTTTACAAACACAAATTAATTTACTTCCTCAACATAATAAATTTTCAATGAAAGATACAAAACAATTACCAGCTGATGTTCGTTTAGATATGTTAACAGGAGTTCCAATAGATATAACAAAATCTCATTCATTAACATCATCAATAAGTACAATTGGTGAACGATCAAAAGATGCACTTTTTCGTATTAATGAACTTATTCGACAAAATTCCGTCCAAGATATTGACAATTCAATCAATGATGAAGTTTTTAATGATAATGATATTTTATTAATGTCAATTAATCAAGATAAACAACAACGTTCTAATGATATTAGTCCAATACAATTTTATATTAATGAAACAAATAAATTAACAAATAATTTAGAAAATTCACTTAATGATCAAATTTTTATAAAATCAAAAGAAGAAAAACCAAATATTACAAATCTAGATGATATGAATATTCAACAAGTAAATAATTTTTTTCTTTTTTCAAAACAACAACAATAAGCTATATATGCAACTACGGAGAATTTTTAAAACCTTAAGAAAAAACAAAAAAACAAAATATCAATTCATTTTTCAATCTTCGAGAATAAAAAAGAGTTGTAATGCTATGAAGATCTTTCTTTGTAACAGCATACTGGGATTAATAAGAATTTATTTCTTAACTAATCAAACCACTTTATTTAGACAAGAAAAAAAAAAAGGATTCCTGTTAAACAGATACACTCACGCAAATCAAAATCCGATGATAAGAAAAACTTAGGTACATTTTCGTACATGAAGTTAGATGAATACTTTCATAGAAAGAATATCAATGCACTTTGTTAGAATGGTCTTTAGCAGACTATTTGTAAAACAAAGTTGTTATATAGATAATGATACATTGAAATACACATCAACAGAAGGACATGTTGAAATTTCATAATTCAGCCTTTCAATGAATCTGCTAGGTTATAGTCCATTCGGTTCTAAATTTTTGAATTCGGATTCGAACTCTACTTCTAATTTCAACGAAGTTTTCAAGTCACTCCGAAGATGTGAGATACTTTTTATTGATAATTTGTATTCTACTATTAACACACTCTACACATTTCTCAGACAACCATGACTATAATCTTATAAGAATCAAGTCATCATTGGCTGTTACTTTTAGAGTATGATATGTTAGGTTGAAACTAATTCGATGGACTCTACTACTAGTAGCAAGAATAGGTCTTGAAATCTATTAACTTGACTTTTTGTTCAATAATGAAAAATGAGATTTGAATCATACCAATCTTGTTTATTATAAAACTAATATACATATTGTATTTTAGTTTTAATCTACATTTTCTTAAGATCATCCCTCTCCCTCAAGAATCGATCTCAGCCCAAAATCATCCAAATTGCATGAAAACTTTCAGGATATGTTGGGGCTGGTGAGCGATGGTTATGGTAAAATTTTCAGCCTTGTATCATGACGCTTGACAGAGATATTCACCAAACAAGAGTCAAAAATAGCTCTATCGTAGTGTCAAGAGTTCTCTGTGAGCCTTCATTTTATACAGGGTGACGCAAAAGTCAGTTTACCGAAAAAAAATCGAATATCTCCATTATGGCTCGAGCAAACGAGCTGATTTTTTTTATCAATAATAGCGGCATGTTCAAGCTTTATATTCACAAAGACAAGCCTAGAGAGACCGTTCGTTAAGTATCATCAGTGATTTCAACAAAATAACAAAGTGTCTCTCTAGGCATCTCTTTATGTATATAAAGCTTGAACATGTCTCTATCACTAATAAAAAGATCAGCTCGTTTGCTCGAGCCATAATGGAGATGTTCGATTTTTTTTTCGGTAAACTGACTTTTGCCCCACCCTGTACATTTTAATTTTTTTTTGTTTGTTTGAAAGATTGTGTCTAGGGCTAGCCTCTCTAGTGGCTCTTTTTTTTTCAAACTCTTACTTTTTAAGCGAAGACAAGGAATGACAAGTTTAATGACTCAAAAAACCTCTAAAAAAAAGAGCTACCAGAAGGACTAGCCTTAGACACAAGCTTTCAAACACAAAACAAAATATTTGACTTTATCTCTTACTATGATAGAATTCTGCTGACGCTACGTCGTTGAACTCACGTTATGAGAAAACCGAAAAATGATTTTCAGTTTTTTGTAAAAACGACTTGTTCTTCGAATAGGAGAGGGTAATGGAAATCTTTCAAAGTTTTTGGAAAAAAAGAGATGCTGAATAAAAATTTTTGTCGCATGTGAAAGAGTAGATGACGAGCTATTTATCCATGAATTTATTTCAATTTCGATGATTCTGACGAAAAGCGACTTTTTTTAAGGAAACCTTAAAAAGCCTTTCAACATCTACTTAACTGCTATCCTCTCGAAAAGAATCAGATTTTTTTCTTAATTGAATAATTTCGTACAAAAGAACAACGGATATATCTCAAAGATAAAATCATAATATTTGTTTATTTATAGGCTATTATTCGTGAGATTCCTTCTACTATTACAACTATGAATGATGATATTAATAAAAGAATAGTTGAAAAAGATACTACAAAAGAAAAATCTTCAAAAGAAAAATTAAAACGTTCAAAATCTGAATCAACATATAATCGTAAATCATATATAAAAACAAATACTAAACCTGATTCATCATCAAGAATTGATAATAATGAAATAACTAAATCTACACTTCGACGATTTTTTTTACGTAAATTAAAAAAACGAACAAATCAAATAAATGAAATCAATATAAATAATTCATTAGAACAAGAATCAAATGAAATAATCAATGAAACAACTCGAAAATTAGGACGAAAATCTTTAAGTTTCGATGAACATTTACATTCATTACCTCCTCCACCTAATTATGAAGAATCTACTATACATGATATAACATCATTACCAATGGTAACATGGAAATCCGATAATGAATTATATTCAACAAAACCTACATTACATTTTCCAACAACTATTCATACTGAAAATGATGATGATAATGATGAATTATATGAAGATGAACAAATGACTGTACCATTACTTGTTACTGTTTTTGTCATTCCGCTTTATTTAACACTGGGCGCTATATTATTTAATATTTGGGAACGTTGGGGTTTTCTTAATTCATTTTATTTTTGTTTTACAACATTAACAACGATCGGTTTTGGAGATTATGTACCTGGTGCATCAATAACTGTTTTAGCTGCAAAAGAAAAACTTATATGTGCTTCATTGTATATTTTACTTGGTCTTGTACTTATTGCAATGTGTTTTAATTTAATGAAAGAACAATTAATTCAAAAAGTTAAACAAATCGCTGGTAAATGGGGAATTTTGCAAACTTAGGAACATTTCTTCTTCTTCTTCTTCTTCTTCTTCTTCTTCTTGTGTTTTTTTGTTGTTGTTTTGTTTCTTGATAAATATATCAGCGAAGGTTTTTTTTTTCTTCGTTTTATTTGTATCTTTATAGTGAATAAAGGAAACTAATAAAATTTCAAGCATAATTAATTTAGTTTGTTTCAATAAAAAACAAAAAAAAAAAAGAATCAAATTAAGATGAAATACTTATTTTATGCACAATCCACGGATTATAATAACTAACTTTAGCATAAACATCGGAAAAATTTGTTTGATGACCACAATCAACTGTTCCTGACATAATACCAACTTGTTGCCAATAAGTTTTACCATTTTTATGAACTATTGATCGAACTAATGGACCACCACTATCACCAAAACATACTGCTCTTGGTGGAAAACCAGCACACATTTGTCCTAGTCGTGCACCATCACCACTACCAGTTAATGGTTCACATGATGGATGATTTCGTGGTACAAATTGTAAACGTACTTGTTGTAATACATTTGGTCTTGTACGATTAACACTTTCCATTGCACCCCAACCTGTAGCTACAAGAGTATCACCTTCTTTTAATTCTTGATCAGTCATATTTGCTGGTGCAATACAAGCAAGACTAACTTGATCATCTAAAGAAATGTTTGTATGTAAACGAATAAGTGCAACATCATCATTAAGAGTTAGATCATCATAAGATTCATGAACATAAATACGTTCAGCCATATGTGCTATACGTGGTGACCATGTACTAACATTAAAAACATGAAGACGAGCAATTACACCAACATATCGAGGTGAAAAACCAAAAATACAATGTGCAGCAGTAAGAACATGTTGTGGTGTAATAAGACTAGCACCACAATAAGATCTTGGTAAGCCTTCAGCAGAAAAAACGACGAGAAGCAATTGCCATGGCCATGAATTTGGAATCGCTGCTTCACCATTAACAATTCTTGATGTTATTTGTGGACTAATAGCTGGACAACCACATGCACATGGTTCGGCAAGAGTAACTGTTGATTGATTTCGATTATCACTAGAGCTCGTAGTCGATTTTGGTTTTCCAATTGTAAATAGTAGTGCGATACTAACGGTCAATGCTAGAACCATTATTGTTACGCAAACTAACAAAACAGTAATTAATGTTTGGGAAATTCCATTTGTCATTGTTGGCGGATTATTCATATCTGGTCGTACAACTAGTGTGCTTGAGAAAAAAAAAAATATTGAATATTTCTTTTTTTTTTGCAAGAGATATAAATATAGTAATCGAAATGAATTGTTATCAAATATCAAACTTTAATACGACTTTTTTTTTCTTTTTTTTTTTTTTAGTTTATGATGTATGTCATCATAATTCTTCAAGTATGTACTTTAGACTATATTGTATTTTAAGAACAAAACAATGAATAATTTGATGAAAAATATCAATTAATTTGTTTTCTTTCTCTTGAAAACTAACGATTATAATAAAAAAATATACAAGTTTCGATTGTTATATGATAATAAAACAAGTAAATAATCATATAGATATTTGAAAGTAGTGACTATGATGATTCACATCCTTCAAAGAAGTAGGTGTTTTGGTTAAATCTATTTTTGATAGGAGAATGTCAAAAATTAAAATGTAGATAGATAAGAAACACCGAATAATAAATATGTCGAACTGTAAAAAATAATCGAAAGATAAAAATATCATCTTGCTGACATATCAAAATCATATAAATTATTGGTTAGTAAAAAAAATAAAGAACTCAATGTGTTTATTTCATTTATAGTATTGATGGCTGAAATCTTTTTGAATAGATAACTATGGATCAGACCGAGCTCATTCAATATTGCGAGTGGCGCCCACAGGCCGAGTCTTGAATAAAATATAAAATATTTCAAAGATGTTCTATATGTCCATTTCGATGTAATTCTTCCATTGACTAAAATTTATATTTAAAAAAGTATCCTTTCTTAGTTTTTCTCATTCATCAACAATTACTTTTTCTAATTCTATTCCTACTGAACCATATTAACCATCAATTTTTCTTCAACTACCACTGGTGTTGATTCGACATCACATACAAAACAGTATAATATCTGGATGGATAAAATTTGTTTTGAGTGTATATGTGCATGACAATGAATTTAGGCCACACTCACGCCCTTTTCACAGTTGTGAAAGATGACCGAATCCTATGGAGTATTACTATCGCTAACTTGCAATAAGAATGAACTTTTGCTGTTAATCTCTGCAGCTCGTAATGTTTTTCATAAAGTATTTCGTTTGTCATCATCCTTAATCATGATTGAACAAGAAATTCAAGCATCAGAGCTTGCAAAAAGGCCTCAAGATATGTCATATCACATGAGTTTCTTACTCAAAATATTCAAGGACTTCATAAGCATGAAAAAAAAAACGTTCAACTAGGGATGAAGATCATACAATATAGTATACGATTTTGATACGATCTTGTAACAATCGTACAAGATCTTATAATAGGATTGTTTGATCTGAGTTTTCGTTTCAATAAATTGTTCAAGAAAATCATGTATCATTCTTTAATAAATGATTCTTTTTTGTTTGAAACATTCCGCGCATATGTTATCATATGCATATTAAAATGAATCAATATTTTCTTTCATTCAACATTTAGTAGCGCCATCTATATTGACTTGGTGGCTGATAGAACTGTGACTGAAGATTGGTGAAATCATTATTCGCATTGCGAAAGAAATAAACAATTCAGTTCAAAGAAAGACAAAAGATTTGAACGATTGAATAGCGTTTATTGAGTTATCTGAGTTTTATTCATTATTATATTATATCATGCTCGTTTTGTTTGAAACATCTGCTGGCTATGCCATATTTAAAGTTCGTATTTATTGTTTAGTCTTTTTTTTTGGATTTTCTTTTTTAAATTTCAGTTACTTGATGAAAAAAAATTACAAGAAACTAAAAATTTATATGCTGATTTCGAATCACCAGAAAAAGCTGCTAATGTGTAAAATATTCTTATTAGTATTTTTTTTAACTGATTGATAGATTTCGATTTTATTATTTTAGTTTAAAATTAACTCAATTTGAAAAATTTGAAGATACAACACAAGCTCTTGCTGCAGCAACAGCAACTGTTGAAGGAAAAATTTCTAAACCATTAAAAAAATTACTTAAACGTCTTGTTGATCCAGATGTTCAAGAAAAATTACTTGTTGCTGATTCAACACTTGGCAAAGCTATTAAAGTTTGTTTACATTTTATTAATAAAATCATTTTTATTTTTTTAAATATATGTATATTTTAGGAAAAATTTAGTTTTGATTGTATATGTAATAGTTCTGTACAAGATCTTATGCGTGTTATTCGTTCACAAGCCGATAGTCTTTTACAAATTGATGAAAAAGAATTAGCTGCTATGCGTATTGGTCTCGCACATAGGTATTTAAAATAAAATTGAATTTTTATTTTTCTTTGTATGATGAAAATGAAAGACAAACACACGAATTAGAGCCTATAGTACTATGTTGATTTTTCTGACGTTTCATTAAGTCAGAATTTATATACGGTTTTAGCAAAAATTCAATAAGGATCTATTTTATATAGAAAATAGATAATATTTTGAAAGTTGGTTTTTATGCATAATAACTACAATAGTCGGATTCAATAAGAAAAAATATACCAGAAACTTTATTTTTTCATTGTAAGATATTTCTCATCAAAATTTTAGATCTGTTTCTTCAACTTTTTACTTCTTGAATTACTGATGAAGAGTTATGATTGTGTCCTGAGATAATCCTGAAAGCTTCAATGAAAATGAATATGTCTTGTTCGAGATTATTCAATTTCAATTATAAGACGCGAAAGACACTGTACATTTTTATTGAAACATTCAGAACTATCTAATGACTATTAAATCTATTTATAGGCCATGAATCCGAACTCTTTAAGCCTTTTTTAGTATTTTCATATCGTCATCAAAGAAAAATCATCGCAGGGATAAGCCTATGGAAAAAGTGTCAACTCCTTTGAACATATGACATGGTTAAAACGCAATCTATATTTCATACCTAAGAATTTACATTTTATGGATATAACTTCCAATTGTTTACTGAAAATATCTTGTATTTTTCTTTCGATGTCATAGATATGAGTGTATCTAAAGAAGAAGATAGTAAATAATCGATTCTCGCGGAAAGATTAAAATATTTAAAAGAAAACATGAATTAAAAACTTTCTTTTTTTTTTTGGGATATATATATATTTGATCTTATCCAAGATATTATTGTTTATTTCTAGTTTATCTCGATATAAACTTAAATTTTCTCCTGATAAAGTTGATACAATGATTGTTCAAGCTATTTGTATGTATTATTTTTTTTATTGTTATATATAAATTTGATTAAATTTTATCTATAGCTTTATTGGATGATCTTGATAAAGAAACAAATAATTATATAATGCGTTGTAAAGAATGGTATGGTTGGCATTTTCCTGAATTAGCTAAAATTATACAAGATAATATTGCTTTTTGCAAGACAGTACAAAGAATTGGTTAATTAATATTATTTAAATAAATTTTTCATTATTATCTTTTTCGTTTTGTTTTTTGAATATTTATTATTCAATAGGTTATCGAACGACTGCAGTTGAACTTGATTTATCCGATATATTACCTTCTGATGTTGAAGCACAAGTAAAAGAAGCTGCAGAAATATCTATGGGTACTGAAATATCTGAAGAAGATATAACTAATATTCGTCATTTATGTGCTCAAGTATGTTTATAGTTAAATCTATTAAATAATATATATTTCATGTTCGATTCTAACTTCGAGAATTAATCATGGCTAAATAATCTATGATGATGTTAGTAACCGCCCCAGTCTAAATCTAATTTATGTTGACTGGTCCTATACTGAGATTATTAGCTTAATAATATCTTTACTTAAAAACAAAAAATCTTCTATATTTATATATATGTTTTAATAGGTTATTGAAATATCTGATTATCGAGCACAGTTATTTGAGTATTTGAAAAATCGAATGATGGCTGTTGCACCAAACTTAACAGTATTAGTCGGTGAACTGGTCGGTGCTCGACTTATTGCACACGCAGGTATGAATATATTTCCTTTTTTTTTTGTTGTTGTTTTATGACGAGTTTTTTTTTTATCATACTGATTCTTTGATGAGAGTTGAGTAAATGCAAATGGAGTAAGAAAGACAGAGTTGAAAGTTTCACTGACATTGCACAAAAGTCATGAATATGTTGACGACTTAATTGTCAATACAATATCAAGATTCCCTTAAAAAATGAATAGATTTTCTGATCGGAATCTGATATTTCTATATATAGCGCGAAAAAAAAAGAGTAATTTATCCATCAACTAATTGCTCAACTATAAATCTGGAATTTTCTTACGTACGAGGGAAAGTCTACAAGTGTGATATGCCGATCAAGTCGATATTTTGTCTACAAGTAGATCTCAGTAAGACTAGAAGAAGTCTGAAAGGCTTCACTCCATATGTTTTCTTGCTTCAGGTAGAACATATATAAAAATATCTAGTTATGAAATTTTGTTTATAAATAGATCTTACGATCATTAGAATATTCTAAAAATTTCAATGTTTTATTTTTTAGATATTACATGTTAAAGACATTCGTTCTTTTGAACTTTCCTTGTAACATATATCGTTTTCTGGATATGTAGTATCTCAAGAAGAAAACATTGAAATTTTTAGGACATTGTAATGACCATGAGATCTATCTATGAGTAGAATTTCATAATTAGAACTTTTCATATATGCCTTGCTAGCGGCAGGAAAAATGACATATCTATAAAATATTGTCCGAACCAGTTATAATTCTGGCATATAGTCCTAATTCAAAATCAATAAATCATTTGAAGGAAGAACTTTCCTCTTATTAGTCAGATAATTTATAATTTTAATTAAATAATAAAACTAATTTTTAGGATCATTACTCAATCTTGCTAAACATCCATCATCAACCGTACAAATCTTAGGTGCCGAAAAAGCTTTATTTCGTGCAATGAAAACTAAACATGATACACCAAAATATGGTTTAATTTATCATGCATCATTAGTTGGTCAAACATCAGCAAAACTTAAAGGTAAAGTTAGCCGTATGTTAGCTGCTAAAGCTGCATTAGCCATACGAGTTGATGCACTTGGTGAAGATACACAAGCAACAATTGGTATAGAACAACGTGCTGATCTTGAACGAAAATTTGCTTTACTCGAACAAAATGCTGTAAGATTTTATAGATTAAAAATTTTTTTTTTTTGTTTTAATTTTATTCTTTTATATTAGTCAAAACGTATATCCGGTACGGGTAAAATGCAAGCAAAATTTGAAAAATATCAGAAAAATACGTATGTAATTTTGTTTTTTATTTTATTAATTGATATATTGAATTTTAAATAGTGAGAAGGGTCAATTTAATCAAGATCAAGCATCCACATTACCTCAAAAACGTCATTCTGATTTTGGTGGTCGAGGTGGTGCAAATAAACGATTTAAGAGTAGCAACATGAATAAATCATTTGTGGTTTAAAAATGACATAAAAAAAAGAACAAAGAAAAAACCAAAATTTAGCTGTCATTTACATATTCTTTGTTGTTATCTCTTTTTTTTTGGCTGTGAATGCCCGTAATTGTTATGTGTTTTTTTTTTTGTAATGAAATAAAATAAAAAAGAAAACCAAACGAAATAAATAATAAAATAAACATTTTTATTTTTTTTTTTTGAAGTCCTGACTTCTCACTTGAAATACTTTTTCAATAGAATTTCAAGTAGTAAACGTCAGGTAAATTATATTATCTCATATTTTTAATGGAATGGCCTTGTTTCGATTTCTTTATATCGATAAGGTTACAGACAGAGAAATGAGTACAAAATTTATCTTTTTTTTTTTTTTTTGTTCCTTGGCTTTCTTTTATATATGAAAAAACCAAATGACTATAATTTGCTTATAGTGCTCTGCATCAATGGACAAACTCATACATGACATCCGTTGTGCTCTCGACATAATTATAGTGTGCACATATATATAGGAAGATAAAACGGAAAAAAGCAAAAAAAAAAAGAATTTTTTCTTTTTGGCATAGAATAATGTGAACATGCCATAGTGATCGGGTATATTGCAAGTTTTTCAATGATGAAATAATAATAAAAAAAATATATATATATATATGTATGAATAAGAATATACGAATGAGTCTAAAATATAAATCAAATAAAATGCTTGTTCTAGGTCATATCTATTCAAAATGAAATACATGTCAAAATAATTGGATACAAAAAATCCATTGAAATTTATATTATTCAAAACAATTTTATTTCAAAATAAAAATATTATATGTTTGATCATCTTGAAATCAATTAAATAAAATTGTATTTATTTAATCAACTTTTCAGACTACAACATAGATTTCATCCACTATGCTTAATATGTTGTATCTCTGTTAAAGAAAAAGTTAACTGTCTAACACAGTGATATTTTCAATTAAAATTTCATTGAAAAATAGTAAAGGGATGATGATCTATCAGACAGAATGATAGAAATATTCAAAAAATGGTTTTTCGAAATCCATTCGAGATAGTATAATCCATTTTTGTCTTTTCTACTGAAGGAAAATCAAAAAAAAAACTTCTCCAGGGATGTCGACCTCCGCTTTACCGCGTTCTTTTTCTCTCTAAAACCACTACTATTACAAACCTTTTTATTTCAAAATTATCTTCTGCAGAATGCAAATCTTATTTAAAAAACCGCTGCTTAATATTATGTCTGCCGTTCCTCATGCTGAAGCTGATCTAATGTCCTTCGATAAAGTTAAAAAAAACAAAAAAAGGTCAAAATCACCTGTATGAACTATTCCAAATATAATTCTTTCTCAAGGCTAAAACTCTAACAGAGAAAGAAATCGTTTCGTTTTTTTTTCTTTTCTAACCAATAAAAATTTTTTTTCCAAACACCAATAAAAAAACAAATTTCCTTTCTCTCATTCTTTCGTCTTCACCAATTGGATACCAATGTCACCGAGAAGAAAAATCTTTACTCTTTCTCTCTTCCTCTCTCTCTCTCTCTCTCTCTCTGTCTTATTCAAATTAACCTTATTCTTGCTAACTAATTATTGTCGTTGAAACCGGAGTACATATTGCTTTTCGTCAACTTGTCGTATAGAAAAAAAAAGAAAGCAGATCATTATCATCGGGTTTAATCTTAAAAACGAAGAAGAAGAAGACGAAGAAGAAAAGGAGATAATTTACTCCCCGATTATTGATCGTTTTCTTTTATATTTTGTATTCATCAATGCATCGTCAACCGTAATTATTAAAGGGAAACTACGCTTACGCTCGTCTAACTTCATTAATTTCTTATTCATTGTCGCATATTATCTCATCTCATCTATATTATTATCAAGGGTGAAATTGTCTCAAAATTACTCAATAAACATATAGTCAATACAAAAGAAGAAATCAAATTAGTAAAACAAAAAAAAAAACCCAACCGGAAGAAGAAAAGAAAAGAGAAGAAAAAAAAAGAAAAACTATGATGCATAATGAACCATCAGCACAGACTCTTCCACCGCCATTACCATTATCATATGAACAAGAAACAAAATCAAATGGTTTTCATGATTTTACAAATCATCATCATCATCCACATCAACATCAACATCAATCATTAGATCCAATTGATTCTCAACAACAATATTCAAATTTTATTCAACATAATACATATCATCATCCAACATCGGATGAACAATTTTATTCAACAACACGTAATTCATTTACATCATATCCATATCCATATTCATTACCTTATCCATCATTAACACTTGATGCAGGTAAACACGTAAAAATAAAATATTTTATTTATTTATTTATTTATTTATTTTTATTTTAATTTTAGATGAAAAATGTCATTATGATGAACGTGATATACAACCAAAATTAACAATTAAAGGTAAAAAAATTCGTAAACCAAGAACTATTTATTCAAGTATGCAATTACAAGTACTTAATAAACGTTTTCAACGTACACAATATCTTGCTTTACCTGAACGAGCTGAATTAGCTGCTTCACTTGGACTTACACAAACACAAGTAAAAAAAAAGAAAAAAAGAAAAAGACAATTTAGTTTAAAAAAGAAAAATATATATATATATGTATATTTTCTTTTAAGGTGAAAATTTGGTTTCAAAATAAACGAAGTAAACAAAAAAAAATTGTCAAAAATGTTAGTCATCATTCATCATCATCTTCCCAATCCCCCAACCCGAACCCATCACACCATTGTACATCTCGAATAATGAACAATAAACATAATGATTCTATGTTTTTAGTAAAACAAGAACAACAGCAACCATCAACATCAACATCATCATCAACATCATCATCATCATCATCATCATCATCAACAATTTCAAATCCTATTGAATCAAACTCATTTAATATTGATGCAGTTTCATCATCATCTCCATTTGCACCAATTGAATATACAACTCATCCAAATCATTTTTGGTCTTTATCACCTTATGTAACTAGTTAAAATTATATTTGAACGTTAAAGTTGTGAAACGTTTTCGTTTTTCGATGTTTTCTGTCTGTGTGTATTTATATAAAAAAAAAACCCCAACAAAAAAAATACATATATACATATATATATATATATATATCACTTCAAACACAAATACTGTTCTCCCACTTCATGATGGATATGTATTGTTAAAAGCCTTGCGGTATGATTATTGTGAAATGAAGAGAGAGAGAGAAAGAAAGAACAATTATCTTCTTATTTCGATACTATTGTCACCTGATCGAAAGACATGGAGAGATGTTAATCTCTATACTTGAAAACATAAAGACATCTGCTCAATTGATAATAATGTTGTTTCTTATGCCAAACTTTCAACTACGATTTCCTGTTGTAATAGTTGATGTTGTTCTTTTTTTTTTCATGAATACTAATTATAACTCGACATATCTCCTCCTTCCATTAGTTGGCAGGCGATTCCACAATTAGCTAGGCCTTATAAAAAAAAAAAAGAAGAAATAAACTAGAAAACCCAATTCTTCCTATTTTTTTTTTGAAATGATCTTTTCTTTTTGCAGTTGAACGGAGATATAAGCTGATTATGATTGGATTTTTCTTACAATTGTTTGATCTTAATTTTAGTACATCTATCGACACGTGTACGATATCCGGAAACAAAAAAAAAGGATGATGTGTTAGTGCGTGAATAGCAATAATAACTTTGATCCATTTCTAAAGAAGATTTCAACTGTGTATTATCGGAACTATTTTTTCTCTCTCTCTCTCTCTCTCTATCGATCGATGACAGGTCAACATTGAAATTGTTTATGACAGCAAAGACAATATAAAGGCCAATTATGTTAGTCGTCATTCCCATTCATGCGAGTGTTCGTTTCGTTTTTTTTTTTTTCGTGATAACATGCTGTGGTCGTTGATACCGTATGATGGTGACTGTTACTCTTGATCGATGATTATATCGGCTGAATGAATGTCTATATAAAAAAGGTTGGAATCGTGAGAAAAGAAAGAACGAATGTGTTCAAGTGTAATAAATGTTATTCTTTTTATATAAAGAATAGGTGTTATCGACAGATTTATATTTCATAGAAAAGAAAAATTTAGATTTTTCTATAAAAAAAAAAAAAGAAAACACATTGCGTGTAAGTGGTTAATCCACTATAGGGTGGTCTTCGTTTTAACTTTTCGATGAATTTACAGATCACGCTTGTTATTATGTATCTCAATTTAGATTAGATTCATGTTTATAAGCAATTAGCTTTGGAAATCTAGTACTGTGATGCAATCAAGCGAGTATGTAGTTTGTTGTCATATTCTCGCGATCGATATTCAACGCACTATGAGTTCATTAAGGTGTGAAAAAAAATACGTTTGTTTTGATTGAAAGGCGGGATAATTACTGAATAGAAGAATACTAATTGATATTGCTTAAGGCATTTGAACTCATCTGATATTTACAAAATAAAAAGATAAGATTTTGAGCAATAAAGTGTGTTTTTTAATGAAAATTTGATCCATATTAAGTTTTTATTTTTATTTTTGTTGTTTTTAATTTTTTTATTGAAGTATGATGTACAAACAAATATTAACAATAAAAGATATTTATCATGTAATTATGGTTATGGTCATAGAGAGATCAAGATCTGCTACAATTAACTCTATTTTAAAAGGCAACAGTTATTAACAAATAGAAGTGATGACACATTAAGTTGTTGTAATTTAAATCATCTGTTCGTAGATGATTTCTCAACAATACTTCGCTCGAATGATCAGATATCTGAATATGGAACTGAAATGTGATACGAAACAAAATTGAATGGACTGAAGAAATAAAGTACTTGGATTATTTATATACCTCAAAACTGTGATTTAGCTTAAGGATCCAGAAGACAATGGTTAGAATTCATTAAAGAGTTACAATGATCAACTTGTTTCGTTTGAAAGATTCTCTTCGGATCTTATATCCTTCCTGTTTTTTTTTCATGACTTTTCTCACTATTCACTTCGAAACAACAACAACAGTATCTGAACAAATTCAACACACGATATTTGTGAAGAATTATGTTGTATACACATTGAAGTCCTAATTTCTTTATGTATACTACAAATGAATTATCACTTGAAGATCGATGCAAAAAATATTGGGAATGTTATCTGTTAGCCTTGTCATATACAACGGATGGTTCTTTAATTTTCCAACTGAATGGGAGTACACCATAAATAGTATCTATCATTCTAAGATGTTCATTGAGTACACATCCTTCCTCAAGAAATACACTTCCTGATGCGCAAGCCTATCTTCGAATGCCTTCAATCTTAATTATGAGTCTGAAGAAATCGTTACATTATATAAGTTCACAGAAACATTTTACTAATGTATCCTACTCTTTCTCATTGTAAATAAACAAAACTATTACGAAAATATAAATTATGGGAACTGTAATATTGTATCTCTCGTTCTTACTCTTGCTTAAATTGTATGCAATTTATTCTATCTTTCTTTTCTTTTTTGTAAAAGTTCTAGTTTTTTTCTCTCAACACATGTACTGTAGGGATCAACAAAATGATTGTCAGTTAATAGCAAAACAAAAAAAGGAGTGATGACTCATTTTATGCATACATGATACTTGTCGTATCGTGGTCTTTTTTTCGTATAACTGTTACGTATTTCTTAATTTTTTTCATGTTTGAATATTTATATACAGTAGTTGTCGTTTACTAAGAGTGGAGGTGTAAGCTGAAGGATCGAACGGTGGCGAGCAAAATTTTTCTATTTCTGAGAATTTCTAGCGGCTACTGATTCGATTTTGCAGGCTCATCAGAGGTAGTGGCTATAATCATTTCAATTTTTTTTATAGCAGCAGCACTTACTGATGTTTATAAGTCCTTCTGCGGCAGCGGCGGTGGCTACTAAGCGTCAAATTGAAGTATTCTTTCGAGAATAAGAAGTTCCTGTTGCTTTCAATTCCTTTGGTTAAAAATTCAACTGATGGAAAATAACGGGAAAATGTTTGATCGCATATGTATAGATATCAGCAGCGATGGCTCAAACTATCATAAAATTCTCGCTCATGGCGGTGGAGAAGCCGCTAAACTTGCTTTTTTACAGCGGTGGCTGCTGAAAAATTCTAAAAATTATCTATGATATGGTGACAGTGGTGGCTTATTTTCTACAAAAATCGGCGGCTCAGTTGTATGGCTTATACTTCTGACTAAGAGTGATTTAATTAATTGTTCTCATTCGAATAGGGATTAGTTTACAAACTGTATGTTCACTAGCGATAATAGTGAGCATGATGACAATCAGTTGAGATGATCAGAAACCAACTGGTCTCACCAGTATGCCAACGCACCGGTGCGATCCGATCCTGTAGAAGCATTATAACGAGCCGGTATAGGCCGCTATTTCACTAGTATAGGATTGGGGATAAAACACCACTGTTGACTGGTTTTCCATAAAACTGTTTTGTACTTACCTCTTTTTTCGTCTCGTTGAATGATTAATTGCACAAAAAGGAATTATTTTTGTCCGTTGGAAACATAATAGAATATAAAATTATACTGCAATTCTACTCCAAACCGTAGCATATGTCATTATAAAATGTGGCTGATATCTCGTTAGTAACCACTGATATTTCACCGGTATAAAATATGTCGATATCAGTCGCGACTTTACCACTTTTTGCCGACATATCGCCGATATACGATAGGCATTTTCTTTATTGGTTGGTTCGATACGGCTGTTCCTTAGCAACTTCAACTCTACTCTGAGTAGATCACCGATTGGAATATATACGACATACTATGCATAGGCAAAAATCGATCTAATCAACTTAACGTGGTTCAGCTTTTACAGAAATATCCACTCTCGTAGCGGAAAATGCAACAAGCAAAGGTATGAAAAATAGAATGTTTCATAACTGGTGTTTCTCTGTTTAAAATTCAATTAATCGTGTTCTCAAATGAGTTCAATGTGTAAGTTTCTCTGTTTGACCCTTTTCGAAATACAAACAACATCTTCTAGTGTTTCAGTTCCTGTCAATGATCATCATAAGAAATTTTTCACTTGTTTTTGATATCTTTTTCGATAAAATGAGTATTTATAACTAGGAATTGAACTTGAAAAAATCGATACTGACATCCATTTTTCTTTGATCAATGACAATTAGTGTTGATTATCGATTCTCTAACGGGATAGTTCGATTTGATAAGGAATATCACAGAGTAGATGTGGTTCTATTCAATTTGATTTCAGCTTTCTATGCTGATGAGAAATAGTAATCATCACGATTCTGATGATCGGATTTATGATTGGTCCATTTGAACTTTTAAAACCGGCTGGTTTCGACCAGCTTTTTGCCGGTATTTTTATCAATTTTCAGAGCACTGAAATTTGGCTATTTTACTTGTTTTTATCAATTTTCGGGTTTTTAACGGTCCATAAATATGAACATGGACGTTTTTAGCTAACAAATGCCTAACGGACATCAATATAACAACTCTAAAGTTTGAACTCATGCATTCTCATAGCACAATAAGGGTCTAAGATCATGCTGGATGCAGTGATGATGGTTGCAAAAAGTTAGTCAACCATGGGAAGTTAAATTCAATATAAACTAAAGATTTTCCGCCTCGGAATTTTGAACTCACTTTGCTGGACTATTTTTAACTGACTGTCAGAAACTCTCAATAGTTAGCATTTGTCAGTTCATGCTTTCGTTACATAAATCTCACAAAAGTATCCATTTTGTTATGGAAGTTTTGCAAACTACTATCTCATGCAATTGTGTGAATATCTAGGCATTAGGAAACGTTAATATATTAAGCCTAGTATAGAAATCGAACTCCGTAGCTCATTTTGTCTTCCTATTGGCAGTAGTAGCCTTATACGAATTGAGAAACCTTTAAGCTGTGTTAAATAATGATTTTAACTAAGAAAACATCAAACTTATCAATTTATGTAAAGAAATTATATCCTTATTGAAGAAAATCAGGCA